GAGTCGCAGCCCTGATGAGTGGAGAAGTGCGACATGTTGAAAAAACTGCGAGGCGCAATGTTCAAAGATATCCATCTAGCGCATACTTACATAGAAAAACTAATTAAAAAGCAGCTGAGCTTTGTAAACAGCTCAGAGTAATCATGTCATGTCTATAAGAACGATATAATTGCCAGAACAAATTTACTGGGATTTTTGAAAAGATCCTGTTCACACATGATCTCTTAATGGTAACTTACCGTTTAATTTCAACACCATCAACATCAATTCCATGTGACAGTATTAAATCTAGAGTATGATTTGGACAATGAGTAGGTCCTGACATGTGTTGTCTAACCCCAATAGAGTTCAAAATCTTTTTCATTATCAACATGGATATTAAAATCACCAACATTTAAAAATTTATCTGCAGCCAGCACTAACTCGGATAGAAAATCAGCAAATTCTTTAATAAATTCTGTATACAGTAGCCAGTACAAACATCACAGGGAATGTATCATTAACACTTGTTTCTCTGGATAATGTTATATGAAGCACCATTACTTCAAACGAGTTATACTTGAAGCCACCCTCTGAGAAATACTGAAAATATTGTTATAAATTGTAGTAACACCTCCCCCTTTACCTTTTGAACGTGGCTCATGTTTATAACAGTAAACTTGTGGGGTTAGACTCGTTTAAAATAATGTAATCATCTGGTTTTAGCCAGGTTTCTCTAGGTGAAAGGGTCTGTATGTGCTGAGAATTAACTAATTTCTGTGACGTGAGGCAGCTAGCAGATGGTCGGTTTAGCCAGTCTGTCTGCTTCCTGACCTGGGCCCCAGTTAGTCAAGTGCAAACTTTAAGACTATGTGCCATGTTTCTAGAGAGAAGAGTGGCACCACCCCAGGAGGGATGAACACCATCTCTTTTCAACAGGTCAGGTCTACCCCAAAAACTGGTCCAATTGTCTATAAAACCTATGTTATTTTATACATAATTGTATCTCATAGTATAAGTGACTGCTGTGAAATTGAGAACATTTCACCAATCTCACAGAGACCTTTAGAACGACACCAAACATGAAGGGGGAAAACAGCAGATTCACAAGATACATGATATGTGGTGGTGATTTGGAAAATTAAATATTTTCAGGTTATTATAATTATATATTATTATAATTGTCACATTCATACAGATATCATGTATTATGAATTGCCTTATGAAGTTATCTTTATGACTTTTGGGTGCTACTTTTTACTTATTTCTTCATCTATTATTTACACATTTATATATTTATCAATCATGTACTCTCAACGTATATTATTGATTGTGTGATGTAAGATGTATGTTTATTTTAGTTCTAGACATATCAGGAAACCTTAACTGTCTAGCTCGTCTGGGGGTCTAAAATGTGCTAAAACCCACAATGCTTTTGTATGCTTTACAGACTTAGGGTTTTAGAGATGTGCAGGATTAATAAACTCCTTATAATACCCTATGGATGGTTAAACATGACTAAGCACAATTGTAGGGGGCTTACCCTTCCCTGATCTGATCTCATTGAAAAGTATAAGAATGTATGGACTTCCTGATTTGGGGCTTCTTCTATACTTTCACACTGCTCTTCGCTTCTACTTCTCTTTCTCGCATCTTTAATTAACTATTAGGCGCCTATTATTGCTAAATCACAATTGCAAAATAGCATAGACTGGGGCAGCATGCCCTTTAAGAAGAGAAGCAGCGAAGGGGTGCTCTTCTTTAATATGCAGCTGAGAAGAGCAGCATGCCCCTTTAATGCAATACAGCATACGGTCAATACCCGAAGTTTAGGCAACAGCATGTTGCCCTATCCAGATAATTGTTAGCATTAAATGCGAGCAGCGATTCTTAATTTGCTCCTGAGCAAGCTGAAAAGCTGCTGAATAATACTGAATAGAGCTTATATAGGAATGCCGCGATAGGTGTCGTATTCCTATAGGTAGATGTGATCAGCTGAGAATCAGCTGATGCAAGCTTAACTCACGTGACCTGCCAGAACTAACGCTAACGCTTAATTTAGTGTAAAACATGTTAAAGATTAGCAGATAGGCTGTCGATTCATTAAATGATAAGCCGTTTCCTCTAAAAAGCTGTTAATTCAGCGTAGTGAAGCCTCTCCTCCATTGACATCCATTCAAACACAATAGCCTCTGGTCTCCTTTTTCCATGTACTGCCAGACCGGAAGCGTTAGCTTTAGCCATTATGCTTTTTCGGCTAATGGTTGCAGGATTGCCTTCTAGTGGCTTTGTGGCTCGTCACCCCACGGAAGAGAGGGGCGGGTTCAGTGGAGCATATTAGCATTTAAAGAAACATCCTATAAAATGGGTTGGTGAAAACAGAGGTGATTTTTACACTACCATTGAGAAATTTTAACCAAAGTATGTTGTAGACTTTTCATTAAGATCCTAAAGAATCATATCAACTTGTGGAAAATGGGCATCCGATGATCCCTTTAACAAGCTGTTAATTCAGCGTAGTGAAGCCTCTCCTCCATTGACATCCATTCAAACACAATAGCCTCTGGTCTCCTTTTTCCATGTACTGCCAGACCGGAAGCGTTAGCTTTAGCCATTATGCTTTTTCGGCTAATGGTTGCAGGATTGCCTTCTAGTGGCTTTGTGGCTCGTCACCCCACGGAAGAGAGGGGCGGGTTCAGTGGAGCATATTAGCATTTAAAGAAACATCCTATAAAATGGGTTGGTGAAAACAGAGGTGATTTTTACACTACCATTGAGAAATTTTAACCAAAGTATGTTGTAGACTTTTCATTAAGATCCTAAAGAATCATATCAACTTGTGGAAAATGGGCATCCGATGATCCCTTTAACACTGGTTCATTCATAAAATCGTACAACCTTACCTTCTCGCTGTGGAAATACAAACGGAACACAGAAGACGATGAGCACAACCCTGAAAAGGGCAGAGCTGCAGGTGTATAAAAGCAGGGCCATGTATGTAATTGCATGTAATTTGTTGATGTTGTGTTGGCCAGTAAACAGGAAAGCATCTTCTGAATGTCTGGTGTATATTGAATATACACCATATATATATATATATATACACGGCTGTTAAGCGCATATGTACTGTGATGTCCACTAACAGCATTCTATAAACACTAACTCACAAAGCACAAAAGCGCAGGTAAAACCAGGGACGTGGAAACGAAAAGTGATCTGAAAAGTGATGAAGGAGAAACATTTTCAATTTTATCAGCCTCTCTTCACAATATAACACTGATTAAACGTCAGTCAAGGACAATGAAGCAGATACACAAGAATAATATGAAATAAAAACAAAGATGCCATTTACTATGGTAATAATGGTTACTGACCATCTTATTCATAGAGAAAGCAATTCGATTCAAAAGCAATTTTACAGACACTCAGCATCAGAATAACTGGGAGAATCAGGGCCACTTTTAGACTTCTGCAGTTTACTGTGATTGTCACCTCAACACTGCAGACCAACCAGTGACAGACAGTGATTTAAAGACAGGTAATAGTGATCCAATTTCTCAGAAATCCCTTTTCTCTTATCAGAGCATGAGAGATCATTCCAGTTGTTCAGGCTGTGTTTTGAAGGAATCAATTCAATACAGTCCTCATTTTTACCACGATAGTTATTCGGCTCACCTTCAGCCCAGAACCTGAAAAAAAGATTTTTAGTGATCAGAACACCTAATGTTTACTCAAAGTTTTCATCCATTTACCAGTTAAATGAGGAATGTCACAAGCAATTCAGTAATCAACAACACTCGCAGCAGCACAATAGTTTCAAGAGTAAACTGCAGAAGCAGAAGTAGAAGTGAAAATTCATGAAAAGTATAAGAGAAGAGGAGGATATTCTTTTAATAGAATGTATTTGTGAGAAGTGTATTTCGTGGTTGTGCTGGTTGGGTTTCTGTAAGTGCTGTGAATTCAGCAAATCTTCGTGTTGATGGTCTTATTTTTAACATAAGAATACTAAGTCTAAAACAAATAAATCCACATCTGACAGAAATAAAGTCATTCTAGTTTATAATAACTGAAGTTGGAAATACTGTTTTTGGAGTTATTTAATGAAGTTGGCAAAGGTTGGGTTTTTACTTTCAGCCAAAATTTGACATCTGAGCAACATTTGAGTCCACACCCAATTTCCAATGAAAAGTTTCCCGCTTAAATCTTAATTAGAATGTTAGGGGGAAACATTCTAATAACGTTATCAATAAACATTTTTAGAATGTTTTTAGAGAATGTTATCCTACCTTTTAGCAGAACATTGTGGGAACTAAAATAAAACTTGCCGCTGAAAACATTCCCAGAACATATAATATTTCTGGAACATTCTTAGAACAATAACATTCCTAGCTGGGATAATTAATCACACAACAGGTGGGAACAATGAACTCATCAATACACAGGCAAAACTAGGTCACAACAGAAGCTCAAAACACACAAACATGTAATGCTTCAACAAGACCCCCATACAATCAGATAACACCAAAGTCACTTTCTTCTGAAGAAAAAATCCTATTAATATATTATCCGCAACCAAAGAACAACCAAAGCATAGATTTCTTTGGTTATGCATTAAACTCAGATGTAGGTCACAATATGGAAGAAAAGATCTGTCAATTACCTAGAATCATCTTCTGTTCCTAGACATTAATGTAAATTATTATTATGCCCATTATTATCCCCATTCAGTTAATTGTCATCAAAAATAAAGGTCCAGTTAGGCCTGCTTAGGGTGGTCTTTTGGGTGGTCACAGATTCCTCTTGTTGGATTTTGTAGCTGCTAACATTTTTTATTTATTTTTTGCTAACATAGTTTTGTAATTCTGTACATGTGGCTGGGTCTGAGGAGAGTTTCAAACTGGAAGTCTATATCCTTATTAAAGGCCAGAGTCATATGAAATCACTTCCTTGTAAATTTAGCAATATTTGGCTATATATAAAAAAAGAGTCATCATTCTGAAAATCACAACTCATTGGTGAAGATGTACAGCAAGACACAGGAGCAAAATATGGATTTTGAGGCCATTTATGAAAGTGATGAAGACACTACTGGACCTCGAACACTGAGTTACATCCAGGCTAAAGGAAAAGCTCTACAGTGTAGTAAGTAGAAAGTTTCATTTGAAGCAGAAACAGTTTTAGTAATGTTTGAAACAAAATAATATTTTTGTCTATTTTTTTTCAACTGGATTTTGCCGATAACATAATTATGCTGATATATCAAAGTATCTCAATCATTGTGATTATAAAAGAACGTAAAAAGGCATGTCTGTTGTCTAAAGACAAGGGTAGATTATCTAAAAAGCCTGAAGTGAAACAAAGTGTATTAACTGATATTTGTGTGTTTTGGTCGTGTTCGTCAGGAGGAAGTAGATGTTTGGTGTTGATCACAGTAAGTCTCGGGCTCATTTGTGTTCTTCTGCTGATCTTCATCATACTGCTGTACTTCACCATAACAGCAGAGAGAGACCTGATAAAGACTTACAAGAACACAGCTGAAGAGTTCAATCAAACCATCAACAGCTTACAGGACAATTACACTGATCTAATGACTGAAAAACACCAACTGCAGAACAACTTCAGCTCTTTGAGTCAGAAGAAACTGGAGCTGGAGACCAAAGTCAATTATCTCACTGCTGAGAAAGACCAGTTACAGAGAGATTTTGACTCTTTGGGTCAGAGGAATCCGGATTTTGAAGTCACGACTCTGAGTGATGAACTGAAGAAGAACGTTTCTAAAGGAGGTTAGTATCAATCTGTTTTCGTATAAGTATTTTCCCCCCAGAGTTTTCGTTATCTTTTGAGTGTGTTTCTATTAGGAAATCAGTGTAGTCTAGATGGCTTGTTCGTTTCCAAAAAGTCGATGAGCTGGTCTGCCAGCAGGCAGTACTGCAGGGATCGTGGTGGTGATTTGGTCATTATCAAAAGTTTAGAGAAGCAGGTGAGTTTGTGTGAGTGAGTTTATGTCTGTTAATGAACAAAATAATCACACTTACTGTATTCCTGTTTTTATTCACACACAGAGGCTCATGTCTTCACTAGTCAGACTCAGTGAGAGAGCATGGATTGGTTTGTCTGACATAGCGAACGAGGGCAATTTGACATGGGTGGATAAATCACCACTGAATCAGGGGTAAGATCTAAAACACTCACAGAAAACCACTGCTGATTTAGTTTAGTCTTTTGTATTCTCATTATAAAAATGAGTCCATCACAACCTTCAGAAAACAGCTGAAGACATCTTTTCTAAAAACTCAATAATGGCAACAGCCACAATTAAAGGAACATCCTATAAATAAATTGTATTGGAAAACGAATCTTCTCTGTTTTAGTTTTCTGCATTTTCACTTTACTACTTTAACTTACTTTTGTGGTACTATGAATAATGTTGGCTATTTTATAATGAATTATTTGTGACTTTTCCATTTGTTAGTTACAAATAAAGGTATCTGCTTATTTCCTGGTTCCTAAATGAGAGAACTTTGGGGATGTTGTTATATCTGAAAATTTGGGATTCGGAATAATTTAAAATTTGATCCATGTTCAGGTTTTGGTTTGAAGGTGAGCCGAATGATGAAGATGGAAATGAGGACTGTGTTGAAATGATGGCTTTTTCTTCCACCCTGAACAACTGGAATGATCTCTCATGTTCAGCGAGGAGAAGAGGGATTTGTGAGAAATAAGGTTCATCCTGTCTTGTTTTTGTATTACTTATATTATCTCATGGAATTATTCTTATTGTGGTTGCAAAATTTCTGCAAAATATACAAAATGACCAGCTGATATTGAGATGATCATTATTCTCTTAATAAACAAATAAAATATCCTGTTTCTTATGATGTGAATTATGGTGATGGAACACCAATCCTCTGATGTGTTCATGTTTTGCTCCATCACAAGCAGCTCTATATTAATATGATCGTATTCTACTGTTATCATGTGTCTCGTTTGTCGGTCTGAAGTGTTGAAGTGACAATCACAGTGAACTACAGAAGTGTTCAGATTGCTGTAACACCATATTATTCTGATATTGAGTGTCTATAAATCTGCTTTTGCGTTCATTTGCTTTTTCTTTGAATAAAAATGTAAATTACCATAGTAAACTGCTTTTTTCTTTGCATTGCTCTATGGAGAGGTTTCCTCCAGTCCAGCAGGACGAAGTGATGCTAAAGTGTTTTTCTACCAAGTAAGATATAATTATATTATTGTTGAATATACTGCAGAAGATTGAAACATGTAAATATCTAATTTGGTAGTACTTAAATTGTTTCCAGCTATGAACATTTATGAATAATAATTAAAAAATAAATAAATAAAACTACAAGGTATTTTGCCTCAAACCAGCCCTGTGGTTAAAGATCAAATGAAATGGACCCACTTTATATTAAGTGGCCTTAACAACTATGTACTTACATTTAAATTAATAATTTGGTACAATGCACTTATTGTGTACATGTTTTTACATTGTACTTATATTTTAAAAATACCTGCATGTAATTACATCTGTAATTAATTTCTGTAATTACATTTATAATTACACTGTTGACCCATCCCTTACACCTTAACCCACCCTTAAACCTACCCATACCACCAAACCTGTCCCTAACCTTACCCGTATCCCACCTCAATAGCAGCAGAAGTGTTTTGCAATACAATATGAACACAATAAGTACATTGTACTTAATTTTTGATGTACATACATAGTAGGTAAGGCCACTTAATATAAAGTGGGACCAATGAAACATTAATGACTCAAAGCAGTTCCATGAATCAACTGAAGAATTGTTTTGTGAGGTCAGTGTACTGGAGGTCTTCCTCAGCAAACAAAACGTTTATTAAATGCCATTTTAGTTCCCTTTGGTTTATTTCCAGTGTTTGGCTGTTGTATATTTCACGAGCCAGCAGATGGCACTGCTATTGATACGCAGAGGCTTTAAATCTTTTACCGGTAGAATCAGGGGCACTTCAGAGCATCAGGGATCACGAGGCAGCATTTCTTCATGCTTAGAAGACATGAAAAAATAAAGTGAAGAAACAAAACGAGGGTGTGCAATTTATGAAATTAGAAGCAGCTCATGTGCAGTGTCACCACCTTTCTGCTCAGTTTTAGAAAGGTTCATACACTTGAGGGTGCTAAAGATCATTTTCACAGTGGGATTAAAGGGTTAGTCCACCCAAAAATAAAAATTAGGCTGTGTTTTACTCACCCCCGATGCATCCTAGGTGTATATTACTTTCTTTCATATACACCTAGGATGCATCGGGGGTGAGTAAAACGCAGCCTAATTTTCATTTTTGGCTGAACTAACCCTTTAATACAGTTTAAAAGAACATTTGTACACCTGTGGGAACTGATACCTATTCCATAACTGTTTATTTCTCAGTTCAGTTTTAACTAAGAGATAAACACCGAGGGAAAAGCAGAAATACAGATGTGTCGAAGGCTGAGTATTTTTTATCAAGTGATGGAAATGGAGATGTTGAACATAACGGCAAAGGAGCTGAGGAAGATCTGCATACAGATGAAGATATTTAACCCTCTGATGTTGTTCTGTCATTTTAGACTGGAAAAAAAAAAAATGTTTCGAAATTGTAAAAAACGCTACTTCATTGGAATGGTATGAAACTTGATGACTTTTATGGCCAGTCACTATGTGAAAAAAAAAATTGGACTTGATTCGAAAAAGCTAAATGGTCATAAAAAAATAGTCACACTTGTGTTGTTCGCAGTCAAAAATGACCGCCATTGGAAATGAATGGGAAATACGCCAAAATACGAAAATACAGATAATTAAGGGGTGACACTCTGAATTATCAAGAGTGCAAAATAGACACACATATGAACTAGTGTGATTGTAACGCAAACCAAGTTCTGCAAATGTGTGAAAAAAAATCAATAATTCAGCCACAATGTAGTAAAAACACAGACACCAAGGAAGGGGTTACGCTCAAAACATCAAGAGTACAAAACAGACACACACTCAAATACACACTCAATTACAATCACACTCACAGACACACACACACACACACACACAAAACACACTATTATACACACACAAATGAACTGGTGTGGCTGTAACAATATGGCAAAATTGAGCCAGAAGACTCAAATAAGAGGTTGAAATCAAAAACACAGACACCAAGGAAGGGGTTACGCTCAAAACATCAAGAGTACAAAACAGACACACACTCAAATACACACTCAATTACAATCACACTCACAGACACACACACACACACACACACAAAACACACTATTATACACACACAAATGAACTGGTGTGGCTGTAACAATATGGCAAAATTGAGCCCAGAAGACTCCAATAAGAGGCTGAAATCAGATTGATTAATCTCAGATAAAGCATTCCTGTTCATTTTTTTTACATTTTTGTTGAATTTTGATGTTATTTGTAATAAAATGTCTTTCCCTGTGTTCAGGTTTGACTGTAGTAAAATTAATGCAAAAACTGACATTTCACATCAGCATTTCAATAAATAAATAAATAAATAATCTAAACATTTACAAAAGGTTGTCTTTGAGAATGTTTAAATATATATCCAAATCCACAACTTAAAGGGAGAGTTCACCCAAAAATTACTTACCCTCATGATGTTCCAAACCCGTAAGACCTCCGTTCATCTTCGAAACACAAATTAAGATATTTTTGATGGAATCTGAGAGCTCTCTGACCCTCCCATAGACAGCAAGGCTCCTTACACGATCAAGGTCCAGAAACATAGCAAGGAGATCGGTAAAATAGTCCATGTGACATCAGGGGTTCAACTGTAATTTTCAGAAGCTACGAGAATACTTTTTGTGTGCAAAAGAGAAAAAAAACTACTTTATTCAAATTCATCTCCTCCGCGTCACCCTAGCACCATTTTGGAGAATATCCACTGAAAGTAAACAGCATATGCTGTTCTGCGTAAGCCGCACCACACGGATATGTTTTCTACTTTGTACATACGCTTTGATTTGAATGAAAACAACGTATCCACATGGTGTGGCTAACACAGAACAGCATATACCATTTACGTTCAGTGGATACTCTCCAAAATGGCGCTAGGGTGACGCGGAGAAGACAAATTGTTGAATAAAGTCATTCTTTTTTTCTTTTGTGCAAAAAAAGTACTCTCGTAACTTCATAAAATTACGGTTGAACCTCTGATGTCACAAGGATTACTTTACCGATGTCCTTGCTATATTTCTGGAACTTGATGGTGTAAGGACACTTGCTGTCTATGGGAGGGTCAGAGAGCTCTCGGATTTCATCAACAATATCTTAATTTGTGTTCCGGAGATGAACGAAGGTCTTATGGGTTTGGAAGGACATGAGGGTGAGTAATTAATGACAGAATTTTCATTTTTGGGTGAACCCTTTAAATAAAAATGTAGGAATCTAGTGGCTAAACCATGAAATTGAAGATGTTTTTCTTTTTTTTACTCCCACCAGATGGCACTAATCTGCCTTCAAAAATTGGATTTTAAAGGAAATATGGGCCTCATTCATGAAACACCAGCAGAACACATTTTAGTGTAAATCGTGCATAAAGCTGTTCTGACATAAATTTTCGGAATCATGAAAGTGTTCGAATTTTCAAAATGCTAGTTGGTAGGAAAGAAATGTACATCTGCTCCTTACCATGTGTAAATGGTGCGTAAAACCTTCTGTGTTCTTTTTGGCAAACTGATGACACTGAAATTTGATGCACTCCCATTATAATATTTTACAAGTTTGTTTGCTCTGCTTTTTTTTTTTTTTTTTTTTTTAGCTGAGAGATGATAAACTGTTTAGCTTTGGGTAAAATGCAGCGCTTGTCACCGTCACTTTTTACACAGCCATCCAATCAATGGAGGAGGGGCGGGACAAATACTACACTGACCAATCATCCGTCTTGTACAACAACTGAACAACAATAGAGAAGTTAATATTGCTGGTTACTGTATTTTTATATTCAGTAATATTCTTCAAAATGAGATACTAGTAATACGTTGCTTCCGTGGATATTCCTAATCATAGCAACCAAAGCATCTCAGCTGGAAAAACGCTGTGCCACCAGAGTGTTCTCAAGCGCCACCAGCTGGTCATTTTCAGAAGAGCGCTTGACATTTTTCAGCTGGCTAAAAACTCTTTGGTGGACACACGTTATTGAATATTTATTGTTAGGCATATGGCCTATTAGTTTTTGCATTAATGCAATATACTGGAGCCAAACCTGAGAAAGTAGACCTGAATATTCCACTGCGTTCCTGGATACGGAACTTGCGTAGCTGTAATTCATAGGCGGGGATTATGCTAATTGTGAATGAGCGTGCACACGCACCGTATTTAGGAATGATTGGAATTCATTAACATACGCATGTTTAACTATCAAATCTGATGTGCACGAAGCGTTTGTGAATCCGGAGGAGAGTTTTCGTGAAGGTCCGTTTTACGCGCAAATTACTTAGAATTTACTTCTATATTTACGAATGTTTCATGAATGAGGCCCATTGTCTCTATTTTAACATGAAATACTGCCATAATTGAAAAGTAATACAAAAATATTAGAATTTTTTTTATATTAGTTTCAATGGGAAAAAGTGATCATAATTATTGCATAAATATTAATTAGTACCATGAATTTTTCTCAAAAGAAAAAAGAAAAATTGCTATTGAACAAAAATATATTACATTGATTTTACTGAAAAAAAAAAAAAAAAGTTACATTTCAGGTGTCCGGTCACTTTTGACCATGAACAACACAAGTGTGAGCCCCTGTCACGCTCAGGTCGAGGAAAGGCGCACGAAGACGAAGATAATCTCACTAATATTTAATAGTAATCCAAGATGATGAAGGCAGGCTCACAACAGCAGGACCATAAACAATAACTGACGCCGCACTGAACAAAGG